TTCCATTGCTCTGCACCACTGAGCAGAGCCTGGTCCATCCTCTTGTTATCTTCTCTCCAGACACTGATAGGCATCAATGATGCCTATCAGCTGTCTGGAGAGAAGGCATCAGCTGTCTCTTCTTGAGGCTGAACAGGCCCAGTTCTCTCAGGCTTTCCTCATAAGAGAGATGCTCCAATTCTGTAATCATCCTCCTTGCCCTCTCTGGACCTGCTCCAGAAGCTCCATATCCCTCTTTTACTGAGGAGCCCAGAAGTGCACACAGCGCTCCAGATGTGCTGTCATTATGGCTGAGCAGAGTGGGATCCCCTGACTGATAGTCACCTGAGAGGAGCTGTTCAGGTCTTAGAATGAACTCTGCCTCAGAGTCCTTCAGACTCTGAATAGGCACTGTCCCCCCCATCTCCTAAGTATGTGACAAAGTCCACTACCATTTGTTAAAAGTAATTTTGAATAGGAAATAACCATTCTAAGATCACCTTTCCCTACTTTTTTTCTAATGCTTCAGAACAAGAAAACCTGGACTAGCAACTTCCTTCATTCTAGGGAAAATTGTGAAAGAAAACCAGGCAAAAAATTTGAAGGCTTTAAATATTTAGTTCTGCTCTGCAGTCCAAATATCAGAGTAAAAACTCTGAAGAACAGCAGTTTCCACCCAGTGCATCCTTAGCATTTTTTTCCCCTTAAAATTCACCTTAATTTTGCAAGCATAATTAAATGGTATTGTCTCTCTGAAAAATAGTCTTTAGATTTTTGCTTAGGTTTACTTAAATTGTTGGTGACACAGTGCTGAAATATTTAAATAAGAGAGTAAGAGTTTTGCACACATACCTCGCAGTATATTCTATCAAATAAGAGAAAGATAATCATGATGATTAGTCATGTCCAGGCAGGGCACTTTTCTGATAGCTAATCATGTCAGAAATATTTCACCATGACTTGAGTATAACTGTCAACTATAGTTTCCATTTTGTTTCATGTATTTTGCTCTGAAACAGTGATGTAACCATTTCATATCTTTATTTGGCCAACTGTGAAGAACCCCCATGGATACTAAGAGGTATCACAAAGTGCTTTAAATTCATCTTTGCATCCACAGAGTGAAGATCATTCTGGTGGCAGATCAAAATAGCATTGCTCTGATATTTTTCGCACAATGGATGAAAAGTTGCTCTCTTTACTTCACTGCAGTTCACCTCTTTGACTGAGTTTCACTGGAAAAATTATGAATAACAACACAGAAACCCCCAAGTTTTCATAGAAATAGCAGAGTGTAACAGCCTTTTGCTTCTTTTGATATGGGTTCTGTCCCTCACTGCCAACATAAAGGCTTATAAACCTTATTCTTTCATATGTGTTTTACCTATTCTGTCAGGGAATTTTTTTATGATGATGCTCATTTTAACCTCCTGAACTTATCTTTCTACCCAGCAAAGGTATAACATTTTGTTCCAGATGGGTTTTCACCCCATCATTTGATTTTGCTGAAAGTGCCTGTAAGATTCAAGCCAAAGGTACCATTTAATTTGTCTTTAAACAAACACACATGCACACCTCAGGTTTTTGTTTTATGGGTGAAGATTTCACTTCCTGTTGACAGGAGGTTTTCTTACTTATTTTGTTGTTTTCTTTTCAGAATCTAACACTTAATACTGATAGTTTAGATATTGTAATTCTGGATAATGTCTGTTTTCTTGGTGAGATGGGTCATATTTGGCAGGCCCGTGCATGTGTTGCTGTTGACCGTAGAATACAGTTGCTTACCTACCTATGCCTGTCAAAAAATTAATGAATATTTAATAGTGTTTTAACAGACTACTACAGGTGTGAAATGTTCTGTAAAACAGTACATTTTCCATTCTATATGATGGGAGTAATTCCCGCTGCATACTCTTTAAATATCCCCATCTGCATCATGCAAAGTAAATATATAACACACTTGAAACTGGTGTCAGAGTTAGTTATGCTGTACTGCTTAACTTCCCAAACCTCAGGATGCTGCCCTTATTACTAAGCTTCCTACAGTGAGATTGATGCTCTGGAGCCTTTCAATAGCCAGGCACCTGCACTTGTGTTCCTGATGCCAGGCCAACTCAGAGCAAAGGCAGAATTCAAGACCAAGTATCAACCTCTTCAATTCTCTGTGTGCAATGGCTTCAGACCATGCTGAAGATTTTCTTTGCATTCTCCCTGCCCCCTTTTTACCACAGATTTTAGCTCTCTTTTTGGCCTCAGCTCCCACTACTCCTGTGTTTGTCATTAATGTAGTACTACCTTACAAAAAATTGAAATATAATCAAAATTACATATATATATATGGAGTAACTGACACTTTAGACTATTTCCTGTGCCAAGACAATGCTGCTTTTCAGGAATTCACCCTACTTTTTGAGACTATGCTGCAATACTCCTGGCTGTATTCTCATTCTCTGAGCTGTGTCTTCCCAATTTTCCTAGATATCTTATTTTCTTCCTGTAAGTATACAATCCTCTTTGGCAAATGACACTTATAGTATTATATGCAGACCATTATACAGCCTCGTAAACAAAAATTGGTAAATTTGTAACAATTAAAGGCATTTACATTTAATACCATTGAAAACTGGGCTCCTACAAAGCTCACATACCAGTTCACTTATAGACACAGCATCCAAATAGAATAAATCATACAAATTGCCCCACTTCTAATCTTCAGAAAAGAATTTAATGTAAAATGTAGCTCAAAAAGAATGTGAGGTGCCTCTTGTTTTCTCTCTAAATGTTTTACTTTCTTATTTTCAAAGATCATGAGTATGCTTTTTATTTCAAAGTAAAACTTAGGAATGTAAATTTGACTATGTGCTGCATATCAAACAGCAATGTAACACTTGCTAATTTCTCACATGTTGGGAGATTTATACAGTTTTCCACTGCTCTTAAGTTGCAAGTATTTGCATTACAAATAATGCACTGAAAGCACACTAAGCAAGAGCTTCTCAGAACAGAGACCCTGCAAAATGCAGTTTTACAAAGGGAATTAATTGGCTTTTGTCACTACTGTGTTCTACAATATGAAGACACATTGCTAGAGAGGATTGTAAGGGGCAAGGAAGTTTTTCTTCACAGGCAAAGCATTATGTTTCTCTGACCATAGATGATGATTTCCTTATTGATAAGATTTAATCAGATCTTCAGGAGGTGGCAGTTTTGCTTTAATTTAACATGAGACATTTGAAATCGCTTCCTAGAAAACAACCATGGTATGGCAATTACATGGATGAGCAAAAAGACAGTTGCTGCCTCTGTAATTGAACCAATATAGCTGCTGTCAGTTTTCATGCTTTTAACTGTTTTCTTTTTAGATCTGCAAAAAGGAAGCTCATGTTTTTCAAAATGTGGCCTTGAGTTATGCACATTTTGATTCAGAAATATACTAACTTGAATCATTCCCTGTGGTGTAATCTCTTTGTGCAATACACTGAAAGCAACAAGTAGCTGTTTTCTATAGATTTGATTGTTTATATTTACAAAAAATAATGCTACAAAAAAGTTTCAAAGAAAAGTGCAAATATTTTTACCAAGAATCTTATTCACATACAATTACATGCTAGTTCCTTTCAAAAAGATGTCTTTTATGAGCCAGTGCTACTTTTCAGCATCAATCATTTCTTAGCTCATTTAATAGATTATATGTTCCACTCAAAAGTGTCCAGTCAAAGTAGCATATTATCAGATTTTTTCCTTAAGCTTCTTCACTAGAAGAGAAATAGCATAATATCCATATTTAATGAATGATTGACCTAAAAGTTTACAAGATAGAAATTTCATGCCGTGCATTCACTTATTTGTACAAACTCTTGACCTTTTTAATCAATACATGGCATAGACATGAGGAATCCAAGGAGATTTCTTGACTTAGATATGCAGTCCAGCTTTTTATAGCTACCACTTGTAGCTATAAAAAGGCACATTTAGGTAGCATTTGGCAAAGTGAGAAACGTGTGGAGCACATAAGGTATCTCTCAGACAGAGTAAGTACAGCAGTTTTCTGGACCTCCTGTGGTAAATTTTCAGACTTGCTACAGAGCTGCCTTAAGCTGGTGGTGAATCAATCAGGCTGATTGAGAAAACCATGAGCTGGACCCCTCAGTTATCTTGCATCTGGCTCAAGAAAGGCTGAACAATGGGATGTTGTCTAGAGGGAAGTGGAGGTCTCACAGCCCAGTGTTGGTTCAGGGAGGCACAGAGGAGCACCCAGGGCTCTGTACCAGCCACTGGCCTTGCTCTTCCTTCATCCTGAAAAGCAAGACCTGTTCCAAATCTGGTCCTTTAAGAAGACAGGGATGTGCACAAAGACTCTTGTGAGGCAGCCTTTACTGTTGTCTCAGTAGGTGGAGGAGGACCAAAGTGTTTATTTTGCCTCTTATATCAGCTATGAATTCAGACTTAAAGTAACCAAGACCATCATAAGGCCTATTTGCATATTAAATTTCACACCCTCCCCAATGCAAACAAGGAATAAAATGGGACATGTAAAACATGTTTGACCAAAGTCACCAAACCCCACCTATAACATGTGGTTGTTCCATCCAGTTGGGAAGGGCCAAAAAAAATCTGTAGTAGAAAAAAAAGGGAGGTTGCAGGGCAAAAAGTGAGATGAGGAAACATGCCTGCTTTCTCAGGATCAGTAGGACTCAGGACTGTGTCTGTCCTCCTCCACTGTAGGAACACCTTTAGGTGAGCTTTGCTTATCAATAGCATTGGAGTAGGCCTGGGAATATTCATTTATACATATATAGCACAATAGATGTCTGTTACTATACCTCCCACTGCAATGCATATTAACACTCTATAAAGTGTAGGGGGACAGAATATAAGAAAGATAGTGTAGAAAGTAATCTCACCCCTAAGGAGTTGCAGCTGGATCGATTATCAAAGATAATTGACTGACTTTAACAGGCCACAGCTGTAACTAATGAGAAGAAGAGTGCTATAAAAGAGTGGGGTGGCTGGTTGAGAAGGGAACTGGAGTCAGTTGGCTGCTTTGTGAAGAAGAAAGAGTCAGTGCTCTGAGGAATAGCCCACAAGAAACACCAAGAAGGTATGAAACTTTTGAGATAAGTTATAACTTTTGAGATAAGGGCACAACAGTATGGAACCCCTGCAATGAGATGATAACAATTGGATTCCATCCCCTGCCACCACCAATTAGCATGTTTATCACTAGCAATCCTGAATCTGCTTTCCTGTTTCTTCAGTAAATCATTCTTTTTTATGAATCTAGAGGGTCTGAGTTCTTACTGAACTTAGCCAGACCAGTGCCAGATTGGTAAGAAGCATGTGCAGGTTTTGGCTAGGGTAGGGTTAATTTTCTTCACAGATAGGGGCTGTTTTTTGGGTTTGTGCTGGAAACACTGTTGATAGTATACAGATGTTTTTGGTTTTGCTGAGCAGGGCTTGTACAGATCCAAGGCCCTTTCTGCTTCTTGTACTGTCCACCAGTAGGGGCTTGGTATGCACAAGATGATGGGAGAGGACACAGTTGGAACAGCTGACCCCATCTGACCAGAGAGATATTCCATATCATATGGCATCGTGCTCAGGCTATAAACACAGGAAAAGAAGGAAGAAGAGGGAGGTGTTCAAAATGATGGTGTCCTCTCCAGTAATCATTCCACAATGGGAAATGGAGAATGAATTGTTAGTTTTGCTTACATTCCCAGCTTCTGCTTTATGTGTTAAATTGCCTTTTTCTCAACCCACAGGTTTTCCTACTTTCCAGGTCTCTCATCCCACTGGTGACAGAGTGAGCAAGTGGCTGAGTGGTTCTTGTTTGCCTGCTGTGGTTGAGCCACAACACCACACTGCCAATCAGCACTTGTGCAACTTCTTACTGAACTCAACTAGGAATAGAACTGAAGCCAAGCTACATACAGCCCTTCTCATGTCTGAGCACAGCTGGAATGCTCAGGGGTTTATTTTCTGGCAGAATCAAATAGCCTTAATGCAACAGCTCCCTTGGGGGCACTTTAGAGAGTTGTTGTAACAGAGGGACTGCTGGGCTACATAAACTGCTGTGGCCCACCCTGCACTGTGGGAATGCTGATGTTTCCCATCACCTAAATGTCTTTTCCCCAGGGTTTATGGCTTCAGTTATTCAGTAATTTTGATATGAAATGTGAAACGCAAAGCATTAGGAAAACTGCTTATGCCCAATCTAAGGAACATTTAATCAGTCCAATTAGTGAAAATAAAAAAGTTCTTGTTTAAAAAAAAACAGAAAGAGAAAAAAAAAAAAAGAACACTCCAGTATTTGGAGAGGACAGATTCCAAAAGGATCCATTCTTGTAAATGAAGGAACCTGATTAACAAATATGGTAGTGTAACCAGAAATTAAATTAGTTTAAGATTCAGAAAACAGATTCAATCATCTCAGACAGTCCACAGCCTGAAAATACCTGTGATATTTTGTAATGAAGGGTTTCTTAAACATGTGATGTTTCTTTTTAATATTAGTGCTCATGTTGTTATATTATGGTGTCTTAGTGCTGTTCTTGACAAAACGTAGGTGGTGCAAATGGATAATAACATTGTAAGTTAGTAACAATTTAGTTAGAAGGTAGGGAAATAAATTGGCAAAGGAAAAAAGACAGCAAACATTAACTTTTCAAAATAAAAAAATGTTCAGCTTCGGTTTGAATCATGTTTGAACCTGTTCTTATACTTTTTTAAAAAACAACTGTTTTCTATTCACCAGTTTTACACAAAAAGGAAAAAGATTTTCTGTGATGAAATATAGAAAATCTTCCATATTATTAATTGAATTTATAGTACATTAAAGGGAAGATGTTCTAATGAAAATCATTTATTTGCTTTGAAGCTAGTGTTCAAGCTGATACTGGAAATAGATGGCAATAAACAGGGAAAAATTATCACTTGATCACTTTATTCATGAAAGAACTAATTTATCTTAGCAATTAGTAATTTCAGGGGGTGGCTGTAACTAGTAGATCTTAAAGTAGTTTTATTTAAATATAAATTGGTTGGAGGAAGATAAGAGTATTTTTCTCCACACTATTATATCCCTTATTCACAGTCAATATACAAACATAGGAATTTGGTTTTGTCTTACTTTCTTTTCTAGCAGACTTTGGAATTGACGCAGGGTTTTGACATAAAAATGGCCAATTTCAGCTGCAAAGAACTGTTGTGAGTTGATCCCAGCCAGCAGCTGGGCACCCACACAGCTGTTCACTTCCCCAATCCCAGCAGTGGGTGGGGAGGAAGAAGGAAGAGGAAACTCAATAAAACTCCTAGATCAAAATACAATCAGTTAAATAAGAGCTCTACCAAGAGTTATAAGTTCTTCCTAACAAGAATTTAGTGCTGGTCCCTAGCTGGACTGTGCTCTGAAGTTTTGTGGTAGCTGTACTATCATTCCTGAATTTTTAAAACTTAAGAAGTATTGTAAGTGTAAAAACATCTCTTGATTTTAGACATAGATTAATGACAAGCCATTTATTTTGATATTGTTTTCCATAAGGGGGCAAGAGAGAGTTTCTGTGAGGCTTGTAAGACAGCATATGAAGTGGGGGCTGGAAATGAAGTGCTGTATATTGCTGGCATGCTAAGAGATCAGCTATACATTTTCCAAATGAAACGTGAAGTTAACTGGCACTTCTGACATTAATTTATTTTTCCTTATCATGTACCTCATAGAATGGAGCAGCATGAACATGCTTGAAGCAAAGTTCAGCATTGAAGAACAAACATACAGAATAAAGTCTAAAACTGTAAATCAAAACTCTTCTCTCCTTCTCATGCCCCTTAAATTCTGATTCTTTAAATGCTTACCTTTTTTTCCTACTTTTAAGATCACAGGCTAAAAAGAATATCACCCCACTGAAAACAGTTTGCCTTACCTCCAGCACAGATCACGATAGTAAGTGACCCTCTTGAGTGTTGATACAGGTCATCCTTTTCAACAGAAATGCTATGAGTGGGGAATTATTTTAAGAGGAAAGGAGGGCCTGGGGTTCAAGGCTTGCCCCCAGATACAGCAATTCAAACTTGCTTTTCAACATGGTCAGAGGCAACTTTGGGCTGAGACACTTCTTAGCACTGGATTTGAAGTAAAGCAATTCTCTAGTCTCTTGTTGGAGGACAACGAAATCCCAGACTGTGCCTTCTGCCTCTAGAGCTGTTCTGTGTATCAGACACATAAATAAAATGTGTGCTTGAGCCTGGCATCAGGATTGTATGGTTTATAGCAGTTTGGTAATCAGATGACTCATGTCAGCATTTGTTTTATTTCTAAATCTCTGTTGTTTCAGTTTAATTGTAGATCTGTTGAGTTTTGGTTTTAAGTTTTTCATCCAAGTCTCAGTTTCATTACAGGCCAGTTTAACATCAACAATGAAACTCACCCTGTGACAGGAGATGCAGGTATTTTGTGTGAAGAAGCTATGTTATGGCCAGGCTGCACAACAACCCTCCTTCTCTTGTTTGGATTTAAACCATAGCTCTCATGCTGGAATACCTCATCTAGTGGTTTTCCAAGACAGAATGAGCTCTGTCCTCAGGAACTTATTTGGAGCATGTAAGAAAAGGCATGTGTTTCATCTTTGCCTGTGAAAATGAAGTTCTCCCTCTGCTCATTATCTGAACAAGAAGCTCTCATCTTCTTGGGCTATTATACACTACATACAGTAAGCATGGAAATACATTCTTACCAGCCTTTACTGGACACATGGAGAGCAGTTTTACTTATGCATCTTATAGAAAGCAAATGAGATTGACTAAAAGTACAGTACTGCATGCATAATTCTTATTTTCTTTTTTATTTGTGTGCCTTGTTTTGATTTTGTAGAGTGTTTTCTGCAAAAGGATTGTGGTATTAAATATTACTTAAGGTAAATACAGATTTGAGAAAATGCTTTAACATTGGAATATAGTTTATCTGAAAAGTTCCCACGTAATTTAACACTATTTGTTTTTTTTTTTTTTTTTTTTTTTAATGACTGTAGAAGCCTCCCACTCCTTATAAAATGCTTGTTACATTAATTATGGGGTCTGTTAGACAACTGATTTCCCCCATATCAAACCAAAGGAAATACTCCTGGGAACATGAGACAGTTTCTGAAAATCAGTATCTGTGCATATCAGTTGCCATGCAAACTAGTACTATTGTACTTTGACAAAATCAACAAGCAATTAACTAATTAGTGTTTGTTTCTCAATATGTATGAAGTACAAGGACAGGAAGAAAACTGGCTACAAAACATTCAAAATAGCATGTGCTATGTAATAGAAAACAAGCTTTAAAAGGTCTACTAGTCCAGAGAAAGAAAAATACTTTAATTCATGCTACAGCTAATTCTTTCAGGGTTGTTTCTACACAGCCCTTTTCAGAGAAAAACTGGCTTTATTAATCCTTCTGTCATTTGCTCTTAATACCTTTTGTCATTATGTTATTGGCATATCAGTTTTTTTCTCCATATATTTCCAGTAATTCTCCAAGATGGAGCTTCACTTTGTTGTATATGCTTCAGGCAATAATAAATACACTTAGATTAAATATATTAATTGAATATTATATTAAATATAATTAAATTAGATTTCTCAACTTAGATCTTTTTGGTGAGAATGGTATGCATGGAAGTCACTTACTGTGAGAGAGCAGCTATATTTCTGTTCATCAGTCATATATTTGGTGGAAAGAAGATTCAAAATTTCCCCTCCACGCATAGGTGATGGATTGGTATGTCTTTTGAATTAGAGTTCTGTTGGGCATAGGCTTAGTTTTGCGTGCCCAAGAGTAATTATATGTAAACACACCACCACAGTGAAATTGTGAACAGAAATGCAATGAGCATTAACAAGTAAACACTTAATGCAGTTTTAAAAAGTTTTAACCTTGTAGTGAGGAAGATAGACCATGATGGATGAACTGGATCCAATATGCTGTCATATTAAACCAAAAAAAAAACAATGAAAAAAGCAAAAGAGAAAATACTTATGGAAAAGTTTGCATGCAGTGATAGATGTTTTAACTGATACACATAAATTCTAGTTCCCTTTGAATCAACTGGAAAAAAAAGAATAGTTGTGGTTCCAAGAAGCATAAATTATGTATCTGCATCTTTTGAGTTGACTGTTTCTTCATAAAATGTATCTTTCAATGACTTTTTGAATTATCATTAGTGCATTAAGAAAAAACTGTAGAACTTTAAACTGAGTCTAACTTTGGATCCCATTAAAAACCATATTGTTCTGTCTGAGCCCTATTTCCTAGAAAACGTAAGAGTAACTGCTCTTTCCCACAATTCTGCAGGATGGGTAATAGCTCTGCTGTCACATCACCTTTTCTGTAACCTGCTGTGCACAATGCCTGCCACATCATTAATCTCAACTTTTTGAGACCTGGATTCTGGAGCAGGTTCTCTTCTAAGGAGCCTTCCTGTGGTGAATAAATAAGTTAAAAGATCTCAGTGGACTCCAACAGATTTTTGACTTGGGGAGGAAAGGAAGGGTTGAAGAAAATGTTTCTTCAAAAGCAGTAACTCACATCCTTTAGTAATTTCTAATGATTGGAATGAAGAGGAAAATGGACTTGAATACAGTGAGGATATTTTTTGTGTTCTCTGCGTGAATTATTTTGTGTTCTCTGCATGAATTATTAACTAAAATGGTATTTCTAAGAATACCTATAATGTTGCCACAATAACAATGAAAATGCCTTATCAAAGAAGCTACAAAATTGAACAGTGAAATATTTATTTGAGGATTGTTGCTCTAGCTTTCAGAGACTTGAATGTAAACCAATTCAAGTATGTGAAAAATTCAACATCCTCCTAGTGGTCTTCAATAAAATCCAGGTGTGGTACACCAAGCAATTGAAGCATGAAGATGCTGCTCACATAACCTTTATTCCACTCTGTTTGAGCAATGCTTTCTATATCCAGAACTATTACAGTCTCCCAGTCTTTGATCTACAGGGACAAAAAACAGTTTTGAAAGAGTAAAATACAATAGCCATTCCCCAAGTGGATCTGTTCACCTTTTTCTACCAAAAACCTTTGCTTACCCCTCAAACCCTAAGGACTTGCACCATTTCTGGAACACCATGTGCCATTGAATAAACTTTTTCTCAGCTGCTGAGATTATCTGTTTCTATGTGGGCATGAAAATGGAGTGAGGATTGATGTGTTCACCTTGAGAAGATGGTTTTGGTTGGTTTGTTTATTTTTACTGAGTTGTCTAAGTTGGCAAAGCTGGAAATTACTACTGGGCAGTAATTTTCCGGAGGGTTTTGACTTCCTCTTTGATTTAACTGTCAGTATGTATTGAAATAATAAGTATTTGTAGTGGCTAACAGTGGGACTGTGAGAAACAACATTCACACAGCTTCTTTTCTAAAACCTGGATTCTTGTTATGTGATATTTGCATTACCCAGAAGACGCTGTGTGTCTGCACAAAATTGGACTAAAACCAGGAAGAGATTTTTTTTCGTCAACCATGTACCTAAATCTTAATAAGGCAGTAGATCTCTTGGGGACTTAGTGAACAAAGGTTTCTCCTGGGTACAAACACCTTCCAAGCTTTAACTTTGTTTTCAGGACTTTGGAGAAAAGGAAAAATGCAAAAGATTGGGGATCTGTGTTATCTATTTCACATGAAAACAAACAGTTACTAACTTATTCCTCTAAGGAATAAAGCACTAAGGTAATGATAATAGCAATCATTAAGAACATCATAAGTGACAGCTACAGCAAAATTGTTTTGAAAGCTAACCTGTTTTTAACTAGGAAATGCTAGTACATGCTTGTCCCTATAAGCAAAGCCTGAAATATGAATGTTGGTATGTGGGTATCCAAAGCCACAGATGCTGTATTTAGACTTTGTGAAATAACTCCTTTCTCAGTGTATTCTGTGTAAAACAAAGCTGCATTTCATCAGTCTTAATAACCAGCACAACTCAATTACAGCTTTTGTTTTGATTTATAGGGTGATCCTATAGCATTTTTTCTTTAGCATGAGCATATGTAGTTTCATAGAGTTACCTGTGTGATATTGCAGCAATCAAAGCAATGAATGCGTGGCAGCTTCACTCTTCAGATAAATTGTTATTATAGTTTTTTTTATAGGTTTCATTGTGGTTTGAAAATTATTGTCTTCCACTGCCTAAACAGTGGATGAGTCTTGTCAAGTGTGGGAAGAAAACTGATCTTTACACATTAACGCTCACTACAGGCAAACCTCAATGAAAATACACACCTGAGCATATTTAAATGAGTTATTGACTGACCTTTCTTTTCTGTGTCAAAACAGACAACTTCAGCAGGGAGTTCTTTTTCATGTAGTATTGTGTTGTCAGGCTTGGTTACATTTTCACAAGCATGTAAAGATGGGTGCCATACTTTTAAAATTAAGAATTGAGCCTCAATTATATTTAATCAGTTTGGAATAAATTGATTAATTGATTTTCCAAGACCCCCATCCATAGAATATCCTCAATTGGAAGGTATCCTAAAGATCATCGAGTCCAGCTCCTGGCCCAGGACATACAATATTGTAATAATTATATCTAAAATAGTCATAGTAACATGAAACAAGAAGTGATTCCTGCTATATCTTTCAGTTCTGCAGTTGTGAGCAAGTCAGACCTTTGAATTCTGGATGATTAGGCTACTAGGCTTCAATTATTACCTTTCTTAAAATGAATTGAAAACAAGGTATAAAGGAAAATATTACTCAAGTTATCTCAAACACATGAAAGACTGAAGGGATTTCTGTTGCCAAAAATATCCTTTTAATTAAGGAAATCAAATCTAATGAGAATCCAGCAATTTCAAGTATTGAATCATAATGAAATGCAGTCAAAGAGACAATTTGGCTCCTGTAGATCTAATAGTATTCAAGTAAAGAGAAAGGAAAACATCACAATCTGTGAATGCAGTAGCAGCATTAAACAGTTTAAATAAGAACAGCCCACTGCCAGGGTAGTGAAATTACCTACTTTATGGGAGATTTATGCATCTTCAGCTCAAGGAGAAATGTGAAAACCAGAAACCAACCAAGTGAACTACTCCAGAGGTGTGTAGCCCATCTGTTCACAGGACAGTAATTCCAAATTAAATAAAGTTCAGTGGCCAGAGTTGTACCGTGGAATTGATCTTCCACATCTGAATGAGTGGGAAACTGGAGTATTCAAATAGAGACTTAATCCTGATAATGAAAATGTCTGAGAGAATAAGGTCTTTGTGACATTTGCTGATGAAATTTGGGCATGGAAGTGTTCAGCAGCTCCAGCACAATGACAGTCTATAGTGAGTTATGAAGGTCCTGTAGAGCATTAATTTATTGTCTCAAAAAAAGAACTGCTGTTGATGAATTCTAGAATAAGATGTGGTTGTAAAATGCACGTTTTATAGGGACTGGAAATGCTTGCTCTGATTTAATATGAAGAATGAAACCAATAGAGCTGCTGTGGAAGTCTACAGTTAAGCATTAGAGAATACACAAGCTGCTGCATCCTTGATAGTTTGGTTGTGGGGCAATGCCTCATCTCCATGCATGGAAGGCAACATGGTGGCCAAGGGCTGTCTGGAATGATGACCTAGATGTCTTGTTGGTATGCATATATGATTGTAAATCACTCTCTTTTACTCCATGAATAGTGGAGCCCATGGCCTTCTGCTCTGCATGGCAGTGTGTTGTACAACAGGAACTCCCCTTGAGCACGAATGACTCCCAAGGTGCTCCTTGAGGCTGAGGGATTCCTCGCTGCAACAGCGTCTTGGTAAGTGATTCACAGCGAGCTAAACTTAGAAATCTTAGCTAAGTGATAAAAGGATAAATTGTGCACACACAATCCTTTAGTCATAAATTGCTGGCCAAGTCTGGGATTAGAAGTGGATCCCTCTGCACCTAGACTCCTCCCTATGAAGGCATTTGGAACTCAAGGGGGTCCTTTCTGAACCCCTCGACTCAATGGAAGGGTCTCAGCTTTGTCTAACCCTGTCCTCTATGCAGTAAATAATCCAGCTTGCTGTTGAATCTTGTTAAACCACTGCCACATTTATTACTGAACTTCATTAACTCTGTTTCAAATCAGTGCATTCAGAAATCTTGATAATTAAAACTCTCTACTTATCCAAAAAATAAAATGACTGACTAGACAATACCCTTCAATCTGTTGCACTAATTGAGGCCACTCTTCTGAATCATAGTTCAACTCTTCCCTTTAGGCTGCTAAATATGATGTAGAGGACAAACAACCCCATGGGCAAAAATTAGTACAGGGTACTTGATACGTGCCTTACCAAGAAACCAAGACATGAAAACACTTACCAGTAGCTTTGATAACACCTTATTTACCCTTTCTATTAGATCATAAATGTTGCTCAGGAACAGAACATTCATCCTGGATTGTCATGATAACTAATTTTTTTCAGTTTTGTAAAATCTGTTAATTTTTATTTGCTCTTTCTTTGTGAAGAAAAGAAACATTAGGAAGTGTATCATGGAGTGAAAGTTCACAAGATGGAAAACAGCACACCAAAGTGTGCTTACCTCATAGCAATGTTTTCCTCAGTCTCTCTTTTAAAAATAAATTTTAGTTCTTGTTTTTGGTGGGAGCTTTTTTATACCTTTTTGCTGATATGTTCAGTGTTTTCATAGAATTGGTCATCTTGAGCGAGCTACCAAAACACCATTATATTTGCAATCCGGCAGCAAGAGCTCAGAGAAGGAAACACTTGGTGTAATATTTGTAATGAGAATTCTGGAATGAGAGCAGAGAACAAACTGGCAGCAGGAATAGTCTGAGGGATAAAGAAGTCTCATGCCTTCTTAAATGGGAGCAACAGATGTTCCACACACTGGTTAGTGGGGAGGCAGTGCAACATCTGCAGATCACGTATAGAACATGCAGATATGTAGGTCTGAGTTAAAATCATATGAGAGGCAATTTGAAGTGCAGTGCTTGCAGGCATGGTATTTCAAGGATAAAAGAGGAAGGCAACTAGCAGGAGATGTGATATTTCACACTCATGATTCTACATTACCAAGACAGTTTTCCTGTTAGAAAATTCTTACGTATGTGGATTTATGTGTGCTGTGTTCCAGTAGTAAGTGAATATTCATAGTGTATCTTATTGAAATGCTTTTCAAATTGCTAATAAGGACACTTCAGCAGGTAACACCTTCACCTATAGAACTACATAAGGTACAGGTTTTATATTAGCTCAACAAAGATGACTCAGTCCTCTTCAGAGCAGACCCTGAATTACTACACATCAAATATTTCCTTACAGCCAGATATCCTCTAGTCCTCAGTTTGCTTTGTTGTAAAATAAATCACTTCAATGTTTTTTGCATTTTGGCCCTTAGGCTCTCAGCAGACATTTGTAGAATGAGGGAAAACAAATGTCTGGGTTATACAAAGTTAATAAAACCAGATGCTATTAAGAGCTCACTGTATCACTATTCCATGTATCAACATGAGCACTGGTTTGTATTGTTTCAACAAGAAGGAAAAGGAAGGAGCTAGTGTTAGGATGAAATAGAAAAAAAAATTCATAACATTTAGAAAGTTTATTTATGAAAAAGATAATTAATTAATTCTTTGTATTAAAATCACAATTAATTCTTTGTACTAAAAACACATTGTGTAGAGATGTCTCTATTCCAAGTATTATGAAGAAACCCATCAATCTCTCTCAGGCATAGGGCTATGATGGTCATCACACACATGAGGACAGCACTTGCATAATTGCTCAAAGTAAAACTGGCTCAATAATGATCAGTAATCAAGGTCAAAGTGAGAAACCAGAGTTATGCCTTAATATTATCATCCAGGTAATTGGACATTCCCTGTTAACATGGTGAGCTCAGGCAATGGGCAATATGCTTTTCTGTTGGTGAATGTGTGGCAGGAAACACGACATGAATTTGGATGTGCAATAGCTCTACCTTTCTGCCTTCTCTCTTAACTCCTTCTTCTGAATACATGTAACTCATGCTTTAAAGACCCTCAGCATGGCAAACAGCAGGCTAGGGGAGCAATCCAGTAAAGCTGGAATAAGTGGCTGGCTTCTAGGCTGAGGGTTTTTGGTTTAACGAACACCTTTTTCCTGGTCTTGGGGATACAGATTTCTAGCACTGTTTTACCATGCTTAGCTTTTATCCAAAGTCCAGTAAGACCTTCAACGTGAACAAAGACAAATTTTTTATTTAGTCTTGAAGAAAATCTTCAATGCAAAAATAATTACAATAGAAACAAGACTTTATTTTTCTAAAAGTAAATTCCTGAATTTTTCTAAAAATTAAAAAGTAATGAAAATGATGATGTTGCAAAGTTGTTGTATATTCACTAAACATCAGGATGACTTTTTCTCTCTTTTTATCTGTTATCTTTGTGACTAACATGCTTGTCCAATCTAAATGTTAAACTTCAATTCCTTTTTCTGCCTGAAGGGATTAAAAGATGTGTTTCTCATTTTAGCCTCACTACCAGGGTGTGGTAAGCTCTGAGAAAGCATTAGGTAACTCCTTCTCATTTTGAGATGTTCTCCTGGAAAGTAGACCTGGTTACCAAGATAGCAGTTTTCAACTTATTGAAACTAGAATAAATGGAAATCAAGAGGACTCTAAATCTTTGCCTGTGGGGTAACTGCTTCACTCTCTGTATTTTGCAGCTGGCTTGAGTTGGTGTTGCCATATGTCTGCTGAAGGGTTTCCTCTTCATTTTCTCTCCTCCAGACTGAGTTCAGCCCCTGCTGCTCTTGCGAGGACACCAGTGACTGGTGACAGCTGGAGGAGGGGATATACATAGGAATTTATAGAACATCCAGATTTGCTGGCACTCTAATAAGTAAACTGATTTTGCTCACCACATCAGTCATATATTTATTAATGCTGGGAGGCTTGGGAATACCTGAAAGAAGTGTCACTTTTGGTGAGCATATCTTACTGAGCTGTGACCTGGCAGCCTACCACATTCTGTGAGTACGGCAACAGCTCTCACCATGATATTTCCTATTTTCACACCATGGAGTTTGTTATTTTTTAATAGAAAAATGGTTTTGTTGCTGTCTTTCATTTCATGAATCAAGCCTGCAAGATCTCACTCAAATTCATTACTATCTTTGGGAAAGCTAATGGCATATTGTTATGTAAATTTGAATTCTATTGCAAAAATTGTAATTAACTGCTCATTGCAACTTTTCCTACTTCAATTCCATAATTGTATATTTTGCCTTAAATAATGTGCATACCATGATTTATTCTTTCTTCCCTTTTGCTTACCATGTCCTCATAGAAACATAGAAAATGTTTGTAAATACAATATTAATTTTAACATTTGAAAGGATTAAACCAGAAAAGTTTACTCTTGTATTTAAACTCTATGGTTCTGAACTCAGGGAACTGCTTTCAGGACTGTCTTCAGCACAAACTCTTCCTCAACTTTAATATCTCTTTAAAACTCTATATATACTGGCTTCAAATAGACAGCATATTGATGTCCAAGGAGAAAATTCTAGGTATGGTAACCAAAGAACTCAGACATGTTTGGTCATAATCAATTACTCTGGTATGTGGTTCTTGGTTGTTTTAGCCATATGGAATCACAGCAGCTGTAGTTACAGAGTTGCTAATGTGCTTAAAAAGTGAAGGAGCCTAAAAGTTTTGCTAGAGAAAGCTGCAGTGCCCTGTAAACAAGTATTTCTACTGGTGTTAAGTGATACAGGAGCAGCAATTGCAACTCCAACTGACTGATGCTCTGCTCTCCTGAGGCATTCACTCTGAAGAAATTGCTCTGCAATGGCAAACTGAGCTCATCTTTTTATATTAACTTCTCTGAATTAATTGCCTACTATGTATCTTCTCTTTGGTGCACATCTTCTTTCCAGTTAAACATTACTGTTCAAATGTCAGCCTGCCCCATGGTTTTCAGTTGATAGCAGCCTCATTATTCACTCAGTATCAATTATCTCTGTAAGTTTGAGGTGTTTTTGTCTTTTAAATTTTGTGTTCCACTGGACTCATGAGATCAGTAGCCTTTACTAAACGTTCGTGACTCTACTCAGGCAGAGCAATGAGCAAAGGTTTCAAACTACTGCCCCTGCCTGGGACTTCATGGTCCTAGGTGGGTGGAAGCCTTTTGTGGAAGGAGAGTCTTCATTCCTGCATGTGTGTTCTTAATGATCCGGTTTTATCAAAAATCATTCTGCAGATAACAAGCAACAACACCCAAATACTTTCTTTGGAAGGGAGGAAGGGATGTAATTTTGATGTGGTGAGCAGTCATGAAAGTGTGTTAAGATGGTGAGGGAAAACAGCAGTAATTGAGGCTGCTCTAACTCCATTTTCAATTTTATTTTCAGGATAAAGAAATTGCTGTTAGAAGCCTGAATAGGTGAAATCTCAATAAGAAAAAAAAAAGATGAATAAGGCAAGATAAAAATTGCAACGAGTGAATGTACCTGTGTATAGCTGAGAATTAAGAGAATTTTTAAAATAGTGCCAGAAGGTGAGAGAATTTTGAGCAGCTTTTTTTCCTTTTAATTATTTATCAGAAAAGAAGAAATACATAACAAGCAGATATGACTTTAGAAAACGTCTCACGTTTTGATCTGTAGGTCATACATCATGACCCAGAAAAAGAGAAAAAGTAGTTTAATCTGCTTGAGTGAGCTCCATAACACAGAGGTATCTGCTTAATGTTTTGATCATGATGAAGGTGATGCTTGTTTAGACACCTGCCCTTACGGAAAGACTTGATGGTCTTCAATCTTTACAGTGGACCTGTCTGGAGAAGCCTGAGGCTTGTACTACCACTCCCTCCACACTGCAGCTCAGGCTGAGGTCGTCTTTAGTTTCAAGATGTGTCAATTGAGTACAGCTAGTTAAAAAAAAAAAAGTCTTTGTGTCCTTTCTGCTCTTTCTGTCTCCTAAGACATTGAGACATTATTTAAATCAGCCTGGAATGGTTGATTTAATGATGAGGCCTGTATCAAGATAGGTAAATAGCTAGATGTATTGTGGAAATTTGGTCTGTACTGATTGTTCCATTTTATTTTATTTTGACAACCCCACTTTGGACCGCTGCCTCAGCACCTTAGTTTGTTAAGCTAAGACGTTTAAACTCAGACTTCTTTTCAAACGTGAAATGAGACTCAGGGCACAGCGCGGACTCCACGCAATGAAGATACATGCTGTCCTGTGCCCCCTCCTGTCCCCCGCCCCATTCTCTGCGCTGAACCAAAGGCTGAGCGATGCCATTTCTGCGCAGCTCTCCCAGGGGAAGGGCAGACAACTCTGCTTTTTAATGCGGAGAGAAATAAACACGCAAATAAGCCCCTTGCCTCCCCTCGCCCGGGGATTCCACCGGGCGAGGGGAGGCAGCGTTTCTGTACTCGCAGCAAACTGATTTTTAAGGAAAAGCAGAAAGCGGGGGAGAGGAGCGGAGGGGAGGGGGCGGATGCTCCGGCATGGCACGCTCTGACGGCGCGGCTGCCCCGCACGCTGCGGCTTCCCTGCGGTTCCGCCGGGGCGGGACCGAGACCGGGACCGGGACCGGGTCCGGAGCGGTACCGGGGGTGCGGCACCCCCGCTGTCCGCACGGGGGGCGTGGCCTCGAGGTGACGTCATGGGGCGTGCCGGGGGCGTGTCGCGGCGGCGGTGCCGCGCCGGGCGGGCGCGGGATGGGGCGGGGGGCGCGGCCGGACCCGGCGGGCCGGCAGCCGGCTGGGCGGGCTCCCTGCGGCACCCGGGCTTGCTCTGGCACCGGTGAGAGCGGGGGCGGCTCCGCACCTGCGGGGTCCCGGCGGGGACGGGCGCTGCCCTTTTTTTGAAATTTTATTTTTAAAAAATAATTTCTTTTTTTTTTGGTGGATTTCGTTTGGTTGTTCGTTTGGTTGGTTGGTTGGTTGATTTTTTTTTGTGTTGTTCTTGTTGTTTCGGGGCTTTTCGCGGGAGAAGCGCATCGCGGGAGACGGCGCTGCTGCCGCCGTCCGCTCGGCCGGTGCCGGCTGCGGGCGCCGGGGGAAGGTTCCCGGCGGCTCCGGGGGGCTGGCGCTTGGACAGCGGCGGCCCCGGCTAGCCCGGGCTCTCGGGGGCGATTTCACACCCTCCTTCACTTGGCACCACCCTAAATGCCGCTCTAACGATCAGGGATTTCCGAGTAAGTGTGGCATGTCGCGACAAGAGGGAAGCCAGGTTAGAAAACCCTGGCGTGGGAGCGCAGGCGAACTTGGTCTTTGTTTGTAATCATATTTTAAGTAATTTCTTGTTTAGGTGATGCTCTGTGTGTGGGAAGGTGGATAAAGTACCAGTCCTTGCAAAGCGAGACAGTAAAAGCTGTGGAAATGTGTACGGAGGATGTGTACGGAGTTGTTCAGGTTCCCACCGCTGTCGGCATCTCTTGCTGAGACTGTCTGGACAAGGTTCCTCCTCATCTGGCAGTTCTCACTTTTCCTCTCCCCCATGCATTTTGTCCAGACTTCTTGAGCGCACAAGCGTCAAATGCCTTCTCTCACTTCTTCCCTGTCTTATTCTTTCTTGTATTTGCAACTTGTGGCCAGGAGCAATTAAGAAGAAGGAAACACAATCTTAAGCTTTAATGCAATTTAAATTGTCTTCATTGCCTAGCAGAACGGTAGTGGACTGCCTCGTGTTTCTCTTTCTCAGTTCTAAATCCTGCAAAGTTCATTTATCGAGAGTGTATGGAGATGTGTAAATCTGATAGTTATTGTTGTGTGTTTTCTTAAATCCCTCTGACTGTGCATGGACTGAAGCAAGTAGACAAAGTGATGTACTACCTGAGAGAATGAGCTTATCTTGCAGAGCATTTCCTTGTTAATACTGATCAGCTAATATATACTCTGCTACAGCACTTCATTAAAAAGTTGAGAGCTAATTAGCTGTTTCTTACAGCTAGAGTTCCCGATTTTAATAAGAGTTCCTCTCTTTAAGTTTAAAGTGATTAAAGCAATGCCAAAGCCATTCTGGTTATTTTCAGTGTTTGTTTAAAAAAGGGGGGAAAATGAGTAATTTTAAGCTCTTTGTAATTCATGTTGAAAAACAAACACTTCTGTTTGGGGTTCTGTTCCTGATTCTGAAGGGTGTGGGGGGCTGAGATGATTATGTTTATCTTGTAATAGAGTGAGGAAATTAACTAATGGCAATGAAACTCACATGTTTGTTATTCAAGGGTCATTGATTTCAATGGGAAAAGCACAATTTGAGAAGGAAAACTCGTAGTGTTGACTAACAAAGATGTGGATAACCTGTGAGCACTCGGGTGGATTTCTCAGTGCTCCAACCATGTACAGGGCTCTGTTTGGTGATTCCTGTGATGGTGACAGCTCTGCTGCTGTCGAATATTATTGACCAAAAGTCTCATCCAAACTTACATAAAGCTGTCATGGTGGTTAAATATCATCCTCCATTATGTCCTCTATTAATCTCATGTGTATACTTCAGACTTCATTCAGCTGAAGAACAGTTACTAGCCTTTGACTTAAAAAAAAAAAAGGATCAATCTATGGCTCATACATGGGTACCCTGCTGTATTTTAGACAACATTTTAAAACCCTGTTAGGGTTTTGAGAAATTTGCAAATTAGTAATTCCTGAGGGAGTTGTTACACTGATAAGGCTTACAGTGTCTTTATTCTGAATATTTCACAGCACTCTTGACACTCTTTAAGGGGAGAGTTTAATGTTTGTCGTACACTGCTAAGCACTTGTGACAAGATTTAGTAATGGGTGCTTTAAAGTACAAAAAATGAAGTTCTGGAAAATGCAAAGCTAAATGAATGGCACCCTTTTAGGATGCATGGATGGGGCAAACTTGCCGTGTTCAGAACTCTCCTGTAGACTCACAGCTGACCTTGACTCTATGAACTTGTTTGCTTTCAGTATTTGGCTGAGCCAGCACTGTGATAATAGTCATGTTATGGTAGAAAGTTTTCTTGTCTCTTCTGACATTTAAAGGATATTGCTGTTGTTATTATTCCATAGGGACTGAATTCTGTGCAAAAACTTGTTTGCAAAACCTTTGATGTTAATTGGCCACCACTAGATATTTGCATTCAAGGTGCCCTGGTGTCAGGTATGCTGCCATTGGAACTTGTGTAGTCAAATCTCTAAATAATTGTAACCAAATTTTCCATATTATGATTTTCCATATGTTTGTTAATGACAGAGCACATGAACTAATATGATGCCAGCATGGATAATGAGGTGAACAATCATCTGTGTTTTTATATTTGATGTGGGATGTTGATAGTGGCTGCTGCAATTTTTAATATTCTTAGAATAACTGTCTGACTTAGACAATTGGCTTTTCTCTTGTGTGTCAGGCAAGTTTCCATACTAGGAATACCTATGTGCAAAAATTAAAGCATTTAATAGGTATTTAGAAGACTTTACTGGTTAGACTGTTGTCCATACAACCTAAGAGCAAAATGCCCCAAACATGTGTTGTTACATGGAAGTATGGAATCATGGAGGGATTTGGGTTGGAAGGGATCTTATGGATCATCTAGTTTAAAACCCTCTGCCATGGTGAGGGACATCATGGGAATTGGAAGTGTCTCTTTAGTCTGTGGACTAAAGAATTTCTACTGGAATGGTCCAGCTAGGAGTAGATTAATCTGCTGGTAGTCTTTTCCCAGGCCATATGGATCTCCTTGTAATTTTGGTCCTCTTCTCCCTTTTCAGTTCTCTCTGGTTTCTGCTGCCACAGCCGTGCTGCTGCCAGATGCCTGTTTGCTGTTTTTGCTGCTTGTTTGCATTGCTGCCTTTCCCCTTCTAGTTTTTCAGTTTTGATTTTGTTTGGAGGTTTTTTGTATGTATGTAATACATGTCTTAGTCCAGTAGATGTGCTGGTTGTGTCCCTTCCCGTGGCATGGGGTTGGAACTTGAGGATCCATGTTCCTTCCAACCTAACTCATTCTGTGATTCAGTGTAGCATACAAGACAATGAAATTATATGCTTTGACTTGAAAAAAAAGTTAGGATCTGTAAAGAGAAACATCTTGTTATATGAAATTAAATCCAGAACAGTCTCATCATCTTAATAGCAGTGCAAATTCAAATAATGACTTAATAGAGGAACTTAAACCTTTAATGTGATGAGAATAACCTTGTTAATTACCAGGGTTAATGAGGTGCGTTTCTTTGAAGTGAATGGAGTGATCACAGGCCAGAAAAAAAGATCCCTCTTCTGCTGGGTAGTATTTTTCCAATTCATTGGTAATTGAAAAGGAGATTTTGTTCCAGGCAAGTGTGTGATATTACAGCAATTTATATCAGATTCTTCAGGAAAGAAGGATAAACACCTATTTAAAAAGTAGACTTAATGATACAGTTAAAGCAATAATGAGTAGTAAGCTAACTTTAGGTTATTTTCTGTGCCATTTCGATGGTTCAATGCCTTTCCCGCCCCCCACCCCCCCCAAATTCATTGGCAACCAGGCATACACTGAAACTTAAATATCATTGGTTAGATTAGAGTTTCATAATTTAGAAATAGTGTGGAGTTTGATAATATTGCATTATTCAGTGTAATTTCACTGCTCCTTTGGGTATTTCCATACAGCTAATAACTTTTCTTCTATGGAATGATTTTTGGGATGCAGAGGCACCAAAGGTGCTTTTGGTAATTGTACTGCCACAGTGCTGTCCTGTTGGTTTTAGAACTGGTGTACAAGATAAGTCTTGTTCTGTACTGTGAGAGACTTTCATAGTGCTGAGCTGTGGATGGCTGTAAAGTTAATTTCTGAGCGGGTGACTATTGAAAAACAAAGTTTCTAATTTTGCAGTGAAGATAAATATATTTATGTCTGTTTTATAATCTTATAAAATGAATGTTTTTTTCATAGGGAGTGTGGTTTTCTAGGCATTGAAAGCTTTCTAGTACCTCATGCCCTCATTTTTAGGAAGAATTCTAATGTTCCTGCCTGGATTTTGTCCTGTTAAGTTTGCTTGTCCATTGCCAAATTTCTTCACAAGAATGACTTCCAGAACTGACCCATCTATACCTGTGTCTCTGGCATGTGAGCCTGCCTGCTTTGGGGCAGTGGTAGGAGGTACAGCACACCTCAGTTTGGTAGCTGCTGCCCTGTACTGGCTTGGCTGAACCCTTTATGCTTTGGGATGAGGTAGAACTTCATCTTAGTCACAACTGAGTGCATTTTTGCAAAGGCAAACTGCATGATATCAAGTTGACTTTGTTTCATTGATAGCAGCATGGTTGTGATTTGTTGAAGAAGAATGGTAGTCCAAACCCTCAGATTTCAGTAGAATAAAATACATAAGTCTGGAAAGGTCAGGAAGGGTTTGATGTGCTGGGAATGTTTCTCAGTTGCCCACCAGCAATTGAAATCCAAGTTTGTTCCATTTGTACCTCCAAGTTGACTTTCAAGTAGACAAAATTAAATGTCAAATGTGGTTTCTGCAAAAATGTTACATTCAATTTGATTGTATCAAAATAGTGGGCAGTGTACTTCAAAAACTACTTTAGAACAGTGAGAAGTTTAATTACTTCTAGGCTATTCAGCAGGACAGTTTCCCACTCTGAAAACCAGAGGCTTGTTTCATTTGTGATTTGGAACAACATTTGTCCTTGCCTGTTTGACTTCATTGCTAAATGAAGTTCTTTAAACAAGGTAGTGGTCACTGGCTGATTTCCTCTAAGGCTTTCTGTTTTTCTTATAGGAACAGTTTCTCTTTTTTTTTTTTTTCACATCTTTAGAAGTATTACAATTAACTACTCCCTTGTATTACATTATTTTGTTTTTTACTTCACGCTGTGTTACACAGCTCTTGGGGGGATGCACTGCAGAAGGGAAATGGCACCAAGTTCTGCAGGAACTTGTAGAAATGTAATCCTTGTGGCATTCTATGGTTAGGTCTGCCACTGAGGAAATGCAGGAGGCAGCTTCTGTGCCGGTCAGAGTTCTTTTGGTTGTTCTGGGTCGTTGACTGAAAACGTTTTTGACGTCAGTAGCTCACTAATCCCAATTTTCCAGATTCTGCCTGTTGGCTCTCTAAAGCAGAGAAGACATTGCAAACAAAAGCACAGTGAAGGAAGGCCAGGCCATCTTTGCTGTCATGGGAGCAGCTTCCTTGGCCTCCATGGAGTGGAGTTGATGCTGTGATGGCTTGATGACTTCTC